ATAATTATTACAAAAACACAAAAAAGTATAAATAAGTATTTATATTTGTGTACAAGCTGTTTAGATTGTCAAAACGCCTGTGTTTTTAGGGTTATTAACGAAGTTTGTGTACTCAGACCAGTAATATTTGGGGTCACATTTTTTGCCGTGGATATTTTGTGGGTCAGAAGACAAAAAGTTTGGGAACCGCTGGTCTAAATGGCCTTGTCTTGTCCCCCACACCCTCATGTTTGTTGAAGTCTAACCTCTTTTTAGTCCAGTTAATCAGTATTGTGATTAGCCTATTGTGTGAACAAAAACAAATAATATGATTCTGACTTTTATCTCAGAATTTAGAGGGGAAAAAAACGCTATCTGTTATTCTCTTCCAGCCAGTGTTTATTTTGGCCACAGATGGGACCCCCCCTTCCTCTGCCATGACAACATCAAGGAGCCAGGAGGAGGGAGGGTGGATGTGGGAGGAGCCAGTGTTTTTKAGGTCCAGGTGGTCCAGTTCTGCGTAAAAACGCACCGAAGTCCGGCCAAACTGTTGGAAGAAACTGCACCAGCTCCTCGTTCCTCTCTGAATGAGCCGTGTTCAGAGAGGTGGGGGTCTAAAGGAGAGRGATTCCGGATTTACAGCTGCCGGGAGAAAGAACCAGCAGAGCTGAAAGCGTTCCGGTGCTGCTGCCATCTCTGCTGACAACTGAGCGGAGGAAAGTTTAGTTTGTTTGTTTTTTTTCTGCTTTAGTCGTTCGTTTCTCCTTAAAGCACAAGAGACTGCTCACAAGTGAAAGACATGTTCAAGAAAACGAAGAGTAAAGTGCTGGTGGATTATGCGTCAGAGGAGGACGACATGTGGCACTATCATCACTCCTACAAGGTAATAAAACTCTGCGAACAATAGCCTGTGGTGCCTTCAGGAACTGCTGAGAGCTCGGGAAGACTATCAGCTGGCCAGGGACGTTCAAAAGCTTCAAACTCGCATTCATGGCAAGTTTTGACCTCCTGTGAAAACATAAAATATATTTTAAAAAAAACGACGCGTAAAACGGTTGTTTTCATCTCGCAAAGCTGGGACGCAGGACAAGTGTCAAAAGTGTCAGGTAGAATCACCAGAAAATGTTGAGAATTAAAATGAAACGAGGGTTTATTATTGGGAGTGAGATAAATTAGATTTTTAAGATARAAAATCAGAGCTGCCTTTAGTGTCAGAGGCAGATTTAGTCTTTTTGTGGCTCAGGGCAAAACCCAGACATGGGCCCCCTCAACTCATTTAACTAAAACCTGTAGCTTATYGGAGCTTTTTTTTCTTTAACAATATAAATCACAGAACAAYATACAAAGATACAAACTAGGGGGATAAGATAATGAGAAAAAATAAATACTGAACAAAAGTGCAAGTCTGTGAGAAACTTAAGAGTAGAGATCTGGTGTGAGGTGATTCTAGCAGTTTTCTTGTTTTTAATGTACTTAATGAAAAGTAAAGTTATTTAAATTTATTAATGAAAAAAGAGACGGAGAACTTATTCTCTCTACTACAGTAAATAAGTTGTTTATTGGAGTTTATTGCTATAAGTAAGACTTACCTGTCTGTCTTTTTTAAAATTTCTTTCTCTGTTACAAAAGCAGTAACATCCTGGTGCAAATAATGCAATGGTCTATTTTTGCTCCTCTTACCACAACATAAAATGTACCCCAAGCTAAGAACTGTACTAGGTGTTTATGCTCAAATAAATAAATTAAGTAATCAACTTTACTTCTGAACTAAATAAAAGTCAAATTAAAATTCAAGTTGAATTTGTTTTTGTAAATAAAAATCTTGAAATGATAGAAATGATATRATTACTACATATAAAAATACTATAATTTGTGGCATTACAAAATTAAATATCCACAACAAACCATTTACAATCAATGGTATTTTTATATTATATAACAAACAAAGATTAAACCCTTATAACAAAAGAATTTAAAAAGTTTAATTTATAATGAAATTTTAACTCTGTTTGTAGATCTCTGTCAGTCTTTTCTATGTTTGTGGGATCTTGATAATACAATGAAGTAATAAACGTACTGTATCATAAAGATTAAAAAATACCAGCTTGTTGGATGTTTATTGTAACTTAAATTATTCTCTGATTAAAGCAGAAACCTTCATTTACTTAAAACTTTATTCATAGTTTTATAGTYTCCTAAAGGTGAACTGTCACTCCTAATTCTTGATGTTATCAGAATGAATCTTTTTCCTATCATGACTGTRGATTTAAATATTTGTCATTCTCATAATAGTTTTTGTTAAATCTACAGAGAGAGACCTGAAAGTCACATGTGGGTCCAGACCCGCTGAGCTAATCCAGTTTCTAGTTTCTGGTAAAGAACTGATACTTACAGATGGTGTGACTTTTTTGGTTGTAACTCTTTCTAGAGTCCTTTCCTGTAACTTACTGTAAAAATCACCCAACACAATGAAAACTTCATCACGTTTTATGCCTAAGTCTGCCTCTGTGTGCATTAAAGCTTATCACTTTTCTATGATYCTAATGAAATTTGTGTTATKTGGTGAAATATTGTCTGAGTTATGACTGCCAGAGGAGACGAGTTCTAAATGTTGTTTCTGTTGCTTTTATGTCACGCTCATATGTCCCAGAAAGCCTGCAGCTGTGCTCTGTCATGGTGTTACAGAGAGGACAGAAGAAGGAAACACAAACTCTCACGCRAACACGCTCTAAGGGACAGACATCCAGTGTCCTGGTTCATGAGAAAAAAAAAACGTGACTGTCTTGTGAGCTCTTTGTATTACATACAGTAGATAGTTTGGATTTGAAAGAAAATGTGTTTTGTGGAAAGGGTTATGAGCAGTCAGTATCTTACCTGTTGTAGGTAGCTCTTTAAGCTACTTTAGTTTAGAGAAACAGTTTAATTATGACCAGTTTGTCGAGCTAACATTATCRAAGGGGGGCCAAAACCAAACCGCTGCCTGTGCTGTGTCACAGCAGTTCATGCAAATATTTTTATTTTTAWTTTTTTTGTAAATCTTTGTATTGTCATTAAATTTGCACTAGATGAGCCTCTACATGAGTGGTTTAGGGGTATACAATGAAAAATCACAATATTTTGTTTCTCAATACTGTATTTATTTTTAATTAAGGTTTAAAATGCAAACTTTCATGCCAGCAGTTCRTTTKTGTTTGTAACTTAACCTCTGGCCACAAGTTTGCAGCAGTCAGCCAAGCCGTTTGGCTAGTCCCCTTCCGAGGAGCCAGAGAGCATGCTTGCTCAAACATTAGCATTGTGAGTAAACATTAGCACTAAGTACCGATGGCTGAAGCTGAGCGGATTAGACCAACTCTTCTGTAATAGACAGGATGTTCTGTATTTGAAGCCAAATTGAATTGTAGTCAGCCGTCACAATAAGGAAGGCAGGTGGGCGTTTGTCCAGCTCCCCAAGCTGAAGGGGGTTCCAGAGGAACGGTCCTGAAATSGGCCAAGTGCAATGACYATATGAAACACTGAGGGCAATGAAATGATTGTCGTCCTCGCATTCCCCCCTTAAGGTGCCCCATGACACAGACTGTAGCAGATTCATTTCAAGAGCTATTGTTAGTGTGGTGGCAGACCACATTTTTTATAATAAATCYCCAAAAATGTTTAATCAAGCTATTTAACGGCATATTTGGCCTAACCATTGAAAACATGGATGAAATATGAAATATGAAACATATAAAATGCGTATAAAAATACTTATTGTTTATTAGAACTTTTAGAGAAAATGTCAATATATTTCAATATATCATCTTGCTTACAGTATCCCAATATATTGAGATACGCTGTATCGTGACCTCTGTGTCATAAAGGATTATCATATCGCCAAATTCTTGCCAATACAAAGCCCTGCAGTGGTTCCCAATCTATTTACTTCAAAGCCCCTCTTGCTTGCCTCCAAGCCTTGCTGAATCCCCCTCACCCCCATCCCCCTGCTACTCTACTAGAAAAACACCAAGAAGCTCACACGGTTCTTTTCCTCATAGGATTACGTCACAGCAAAGTCCAAATAATCTGCAGTCATGCTTGTGTTATCTAATCAACTTACTTCTTTTAATCCGTGCTTAAAGGAATCATTAAGGAATTTTTGAGTACTCTGGGAATACTATTTGCTTTTTCAAGGTTATCCAGCAAAGACTGGAACAAATATTATATTAAATTAAACATATTTGTGTGAGCCAACCCATTCATCATCACCTTTTATTGTGTTCAAGTTCAGATTTATGATATTTGACTTGATTTTATTGGTTCCCTCCTCGCCTTCTATCTTGGGAACGCATCATTTTTACATCTGAGGACCTTCTTTGAGTTCAGTCAGTGTCTGCCTGTCCACCAGCTGTCAGAGTTCACTTCTTAACAGGAGCTGATCTGAGATCAGACAAGGCAGTGGCTCCTCCGTCAGTTTCCTGGGAAAGTCATCATGGAGGTCTCCTCGAGTCACCCTGGCAGTGAAGTATRTCCAAAGGGGTCGGGAGGTTGTGCTGTAACATTTCATAAATGCAGAAACAGAAAAGAAGGAACAGGATGAAGGTTATGATAACAGTTTTTCTGCCAAGGAGACGACACACTTTTTACGATACCTAAAGATGACATGGTTGGTCAAAAATGGCTTTTCTCCTATGAAGGGTTGTAAACGGCATGAAGTGTTATAAAGACGTGCTGAAGTGGGAGTGTTGGAAATGGTAGGAGGTTCATAAAGAGACAGAGGTCAATTTTAAGATTTATTTTTGATATAAACAAAATTTTTATAATGACTGAAGATAACTTGATTGTGGTACAGAATTGAACTACGTGCCTGGAAAATACATAATAAACCTCTTTAATAAAGTGATCTTACAAAGAAGAAGTTTTTTG